AGTTACTAATATCCAGCATTCAAGAAGCCGGGCATGTAACACCAACTTTAACATGTTATCTGCAAATGTGTGCTTCTGCTGCTTGACAATATCCTACCACTTGCAAAAACTTCCTCCAAGTGCTGTCACCCCCACTTTCTACACTGTAAAGATGAGAGACAAATGCCAGTTTTACTGCTTCACCTCACAAAGCAGGACACTGACATGTCCATCTGCCATGTGATGCATTCCCAACAAGGAGTTAAGTGAAATAACAGCAGGGGGGAAAATGCTTTGTTCTGCTGTGATTCAATTAGGTGCTCATTTCCTCCATCAGCTGCAAGATTGCTCACAGACTGTAAGAAAGGACTTCTCAAAGATTAAGCAAATTCTTTTCTAATAAACTTTCTGTTCAGGCTAACTTGCAAAGTAAAAAACATGAAAGTGATTTCAACACTTAAAACACGAGTGGACATGTGTTTAACTTATTTCTGTCAGTTGTTCTATAAATACTCCACTGAATTGCTAGCAATCTGGATCCTTGTCTCTCATGAGTGAAGAGCAGCTAGGAAGTCTTCTGTTCACATGGATAATGATTACGCTTATTTTGAACAGAAAGCAGCACTTCTCCCTGTGTGAAAACCCTTCCAGACCTGAACATCTGTACTTTCTGCTCTGCCATGGTTTCACTGCCCATCTCTAGGTGCCACTCAAAATTTTGGTTAGATGTGTTGAATTCCAGCCTACACCAAAGCCATGGCCTGAAAGGTAAATGTTCCCACATGATATACTGTTCAAAATGCCATAATACAAAATGCTTCTATTAGTGCATCTGCAGTAAATTTCCATGCTTAGAGAAGGATCTCTTACATTCATGCCAGTCTGGTGACATATTAGAATCAACAAGTAGTTGTCTTCACAGACATTAAACAGGTCCTTTTTTAACTTGAAATGTGTAACCTGGTGGCAAGAAAAGCTGAATTCCCAACAGTAGATCAATTTAAGTATTTTTTTCTAAGAATTATTTATACTGAGATACTTGGTAATCACTCATAAATACAAGAGAAGGGATTAGAAGTGTGGGATGTGAACAGTAGGAAAAAGATAATAGGAAATGATCAATAAACTACATGAAGTGTTAAGAATACTACAATCAATTTCATACTTTTATAGAAGGTATTACTACAGTTCCTATTTTTAATTCAAGATTTTCCTGACTCCCAGGAAAAAGCCTCAACAAGAGCTATATTGAATTGAAATTAATGAGTGTTTGTTCTCTACTGAAAACAAACAAACAAAAATCAATCCCTCACATTTGCTTCAAAATATCCATTGTATCCAGCACACCACTGAACCATCCATTTATTCTCCAATAGAATTTTGGAGAAAAACAATTCCCTGACTTTTTTTCTTCAATTTCACACTTAACTGGAAAGGACTTCTCTGTTCATGAGCTTTCAGAAGAAATACTACGGCTCCAAGTACCAATTAGCCAGATTGTGAGAACTGGAAGGATATATGGAAACTAGGTTTGTCACCTTGTTGTCTTAGGCAGTTGCAGTGCATTTTGGGACCCTTAAAATGAGTTATTCCAATGCAAAGTTAAATGTACAGGAACAATTCCATCTGTGGTTACAGTTATATTTAGTTACTTCAGGTCCAGATTTCCCAAGTACAGATCTTAAAAATTACTAATTGATCAAGTTTCCTGAAGCTTGAGTATTAAACATCTGCAAAAAGGTTTTAGAAATTAATTCATAACCATTAATCTGTTTGAAAATCTGAACAAGACAAATAAGGTCCAAATCATCAATTTCCTTGATAAATGAGGCAAGAAAAATCTATAACTTCCAACTACAAACATTTTAACTAACAACAAGCCATCTTATTTGTGTCTATACAGTCTACTGACTAGATGTATTGCATTGACAGAAATTATGATTAAAATAAATAAGCAGACAAAAAAAAAACATTTTACAGCAGTTTGAAAGCAGCCTGCCTCCTTTGTCTTTGGTAGCATTCTTAGCTTTGGACAGAAATGTCTTCCAGAACAAAACAGTGCTGGCAATTTCTCAAATTAGCTTTTGAGTATATGCCAAATAGCTCAAAAGAAGCATTTAGCGAACAAGGTCTACCTGATTTTGCTCAGTTTTAAATCAAAAGTGCTGATAACAACTTCTTACATTTACTGAAGAAAAAAACCTACACTCTTATCTTTCTCTATACCTAAGTTTGGGCTGGTGGTGATGCTGGGTTTTCTTTTTATTTTGATTGTGCAGTGGCAAGGTTCCCTGGTTTTTGTTGAGCAAAACACCAAGCAATCAGCACAGATGTTGTGGGGTTTAATTAATAATTAGTTTGTGACACTTCCCCCCCACTCAAACCATTCAAACTAGCACCACATGACAAGTTAACACAGGGAAAACAAATAGGGAATTTTATGTTAGTGAGCACATCTGGGTTCATCACACTCAAGGTGCTGCAACAGCCTCTGAGCACAAAACTCCATCTGCCTTTTAATCCTCCTAAGGAAGTGAAGAGAGGACACAGGATCAGCACTGCCAGTTTTGCTCCCAATAGAGCTCAGGCATAGAAATGTGTCATTATATGTTTGGGTAGTTTTAAAATTTGAAATCTTATATACATCAAAATATGACAGTGTAGTAATTTATATCAAAAAGCTCTTTCAACATCTGTTCACAGCATTGAAATATGAATACAAGACAGTGCTTTAAATCCATAAATGAAAAAGTAAATACTCCACTGAAACTGGTTTTTAAACAAAAACCAAAACAGGAAAACAAACCCAAAAGCCACGTGAAGTTTCTAAGCAAGCAATAAGGAATGCAATTTTGCCACTCACAGCACACACCTCTAGTAACAGGATGCACTGTCACATATAAATATAGCATTTAAGCATAAAACTTTTTAATTGTTCCCATAAAGTGTTAAATCTGTTTAACACTTTAAGACTTAAAGACTTACATTTGTTTTAACAAATGCCTTCAAGTTTGCATTTTCTAGTATCATCAGCATATAAAATTGACTATAGCTTTGATATTCTGCCAATCAGAATATCAACAATGCAGGCTGTGCCTTGAAAGTGGAAACACACTCATCCTCATTCTCAACAGAAATTCTAGAGAAGTTGATTGTGATCTGGGAGATAGCAATATTATTCCAATATTAGTAATGGAAGTAATCTCAAGTATTTTTTTCAGAGGTATTTGAGGTATGGTTCTTATTTAATGTACAGGGTTATATTTCAGTGTTGAGAGGGCACTGTCAAGGAGTCCATCCCTCACTTTGTAATTAAATGGCCCAACAGTCAGGCCTTTATTTAGAAATAATGCTTATGAAACACTGCGCTTATAGAAAGGACTTAATAAATTTTGAGGCTATAACTAAAAGAAAATACCCAAGAATAAAAAGTGACACCAACTAACTTCCATTTTCTAGTTAATTATACAAAGTTATTTTAACCAAGAGGTGTATTTGTAGAACCAAACTAGACAAAGTAAAGTTTACACCTACAACTGTGTGTGTGTTCTGGCTTCTTTACAGTGACATAACTAAGCACAAGAAACTTTGAATCTGCCACATCAAACAGAGCCTAAAAGCAAAACCTTGGAAATTATTGGAACTCAGATTGGAAATGATCATAAAAAGCAGATCTCTAAAGTAATTGCTTGAAAAGCATATACGTGGAAAGGACAAAGAGCAATGGTGTGGCACAGAGCCACAGAAAGAAATCACATGCAATGCAGAAGCGCAAAGACAAAAACAAAGTGAAGACGCAAATGGAGATGCTGGGTGCAGTAAGAATAGCTTCAGTGTTTAAACACAATGTTTATTTAAGCCTCGGCAATCTTGAGTGAATACGCATGCAACGAATACTAAAATCACATCACTGTTACCATCAAAATGATCCTATACACGCTCCAGAAACAGCCTCTATTCTTGTCCTAGGGGTTCAACGTAAAATCCATTATAAGTAATAGCTGTGCTAAAGGAAGGTGGTGAGCAAAATCATTCAGAAAACGAGGCAGGACCCACTGCTGTCACCTGTTCCTGCGAGCAGGAATGCAGCGAAACGGGAAGCTGAACTGAACAAAGCAACTCCACTCCAGGCAGACTCCCGGAGCAGCTCCTACCGCATATCAAAGCTGTCATTTTAAACTGGAGCGACCGCGTGGCTCCAGGCTGGGCACGGCCTTCGTTTTGTGTCTCGCCCGTGTTTTGACGGGCCCCTTCCTCTCCGGGGACCCGGAGCCGCCGAGCACCGGCAGCGTTTGCGGGGGCTACTGGCGGGCTCCCAGCGCGACCCCAGCGCGGCGCGTCCCGGGGGGAGAGCGGCGGCGGGCGGGGCCCTTCAGCCTCTCTCCGCTGTCTCCGCTGCGGAGGGGAGGGAGGCGAGCGGCAGAGGAGAGCGCCCACACCCCGTAACTCACCAGCTGCCCGGCGGCGGCGGCGTCTCTTCTCCTTCCGCCATAGCTGTTGACGTGCCCGCTCGCCCGGCCGTAAAGCGCGCTCGGGAGGCGTTCCCTGCCTGAGGCCGCTCCTCCTGGAGCCGTCCCCGCCTTCCCGACCGCCGGGCTGAGGGCGCGGGCCGCAAAGCGCGGAAGCCGGGCAGGGGCGGCCTCTGAGGGAGCGGCCGCGCAGCGCCCCTGGAGTAGGGCAGGGGAGTCGCTCTGCCGGAGATTCGAATGTTTTCGGTTTTCATAAAGCTGAACTGCTCTGCCTGATGTGGGTTTGGTTATTAAGTGACTTCCCCTACAGTGTTTAATGTGCCACAGTTTGGATGTACTCTGCGAGTGCGGAAATTGACAAGTTTCACGCAGTTTCCAAGAGCTGCAAATCACTCGGTGACGTCCATTAGCAACCCTGGGCAGATCAATACTAATACTCGGTTAAGCATGTCCCTTACCCACCTGCATCCTCAAAGGGGGAAAAATAATATACTTTAATGGAAGTTGAGAAAAATCCTTTTAGCGTGTTATACACGGAATAACAGTGCCGCCTTACGGGGGATTCCAGTCCTTACACTGGTCTGTTTCACTTCCAGAAGTGCTCGACTCGGGATGCGCTCCAGCCGGTCACGCTCAGGCTGAGCGGGACGGTCCTGCGGGAAGGGATCCAGGATGGGCACGCTCGCCCTGCGGGCTGCGCTGCCAAAGGGCCGGGAACAGCCATTCCAAGGCAACGCGCACCCCCTGCAGGCACCTATCAGTTCCTCGGCAAAGATTCCGTGAATTACCTTAACCAAGAAAAGAGGTATTTGACAGTGTGCAAGCGGGTTGAGGCAATCAAGCGAATGTTGTGAAGAATGGGGTAATAGTTTGAATTCCTTTCCTCTTTCTCTCGCGTCTGTATTTTCCACTAAAAAAAAAAAAGATAGAAGGGGAACAAGGAAAAGATATTCACAGCATGCATTTAAAAGCTTTCTTCTCTTTCAGAAGACTCTTGCGTAAGAAGCAATCTCAGCTGTGGCACCGGCCGGGCCCGGGGCGGGGCCGGCCCCCGGCAGAGCAGGGGCACGCCCGCCCGGCCCGCCGCGTAGTGCGCAGGCGCGGCGGCATTGGTGGCGGCATGGGCGACACGCTGGAGGAGCCGTGGTGGGACAGCGAGCCCGGGACGGGCGGCACGCCAGGTACTGCTCTGCCCGGGCGCCCTCCGCACGCTGGGATTGATGCATTTTGCCTAAGAGCCAGCCCCCCCAACCTCCTTTCCTGCCCTCCTTCCTTTTCGTTGGATTTGGGGTGTTTTTCCACTTCCCCTCTCCGCCTTTCCTTTCTCTGCTTTTGATTTACTTCTCCAGGTTTTCCACTCTCGCTCGCTTTTTGCCCTGAGCCTGCTTTTCCCTGCTTGCTACCGAGGGCGGGTTTGTTGTAGCAGAGTCTGTACAGCGAGGTGATGTCCCGTCTCTGGTCTGAGCCCTGGGATAGATGATGGAGCGGCAATGAAAATACCAGTACCTAGGTAACAACAGGAACGCACATGACAAAATACATTTACGCGAAGTTTGAAAAGCTAGGGGAATGGGAAAACCTCTTGGTTTGAATTCAGAGCTCAGCTCTCCCTTGCATTCATTTCCCTTACAAATTGTATTTTCTTCCAAAGAGTTTATTTGATGAAAGGCTTTTGCGTAATGGATGATCCTCGTGGGTCCCTTCCACCTCAGACTATCCTGTGATTGTGTTTGCCAGTACTGACATGAACTTACCTGTAAGGCCTAGGAAACAGCAAATCCAGAGCCTTTGGAGGGAAGAGTATCTGTGGTACCTGAAAAGCATCCCCCATGTGCTCACTGGGGTGTGTCGCATCACATTGCCATGTGTTACTGTAAAAGGGCAGGAGTTAAAGCTCTCTCCAGCCACTGCTCCTTAGAGTAGGGTGCTGTGACTGATTTGTCTTTTCTTTCCTGATGGTTATGGTACCTGGCTCATACACATGTATTTTTTCAATGTGTCTTGAAACCACAAGCTGTAAAATGTTTTCTCTGTAATGCTTACATTTAGTGTGAAAATTTAGTTATATCTAGGCAACTAGAATGACTTTAGACTTTATAGTGCCCTGTTTTATTGATTGTTTTTTAAATTTCTTTTTTAATACAACATTGGCAAGAGTTGGGCATTACTGGAAGTTACCTGCACCTCTGCAAAGACTCCAGTTTTTTGAGTGTCTTGATAATTGGTGCTTATTTCCTGTGAAAAGGTACTTGGAGAATAGTTAGAGAGGAAGCACTATAAAAGTTGTACGTATGTAATAAAGAGGGCCCACAAGACCTAATTAGGTTTCTGAGCATTTAATTTTTCTTTTTAGTCTCATGTGGGTACCTTAAGCAGTCCCAGTTCCCATGGTAAATGCTCTTCATTAGGAATTTTTCCTGAGAGCCTACCTGCACATTGTGCCAGCACAGCTTTGATCTGGGATGTGTGGTTAGCTGACTGTTAGAATGTTGTCAGCTTTCCTCTAGAAACTCGATACAGAGCAGGACTTTGATTATAAACTTTTGATATGAGGGATGAACCATCTGACTTTATAATCAAAGTCAGATGGTTCATCCCTCATATCAAAAGTTTATAATCAAACTTTTGATATGAGGGATGAACCATCTGACTTTGATTATAAACTTTTGATATGAGAGATGAACCATCTAACTTTGAGGTGAGACTGTGAATGACAGATTTTCCAGTTATGAAAAACTTGGGATTTTCACAATAGCATTTTTGATTTACTGAAAGAATTCAGGCGGACAATAACCTCTGGAGGTGTCTAACACAATCTACTTTACTCCAAGGACATTCTTTGAGTGCGTTATGAGTGGTGATTACAGGTGAGTGTTGTGCAAACCAGGCACTCTGCTGTCTGCAGCCCACCTCTGTAAACTTGTTGGCAGGCTCCTTTTATGGAGCTTGTTGTTGGATGAAGTTGACACGAGCTAACAGTAAACATAAAACATCTGTTACTTTTATTTTGTGTAGCTATTTTCACGTAAAACAGGTAAAATCAAGGGTTAATTTGTTCAGCATGTTATTGATACTGTAAAATGCTTTCAAATCAGCTGGCATAAAAGGAAATCATGGTTCACAATGTATGATGCAGGCAGCAGTACAAGAAAATAATTGCACATTAGTGAGCACCTTTGAAAGACTTGGTCAATTTCATTTCTGTGAAAAATGAACTTTTGTTACAAAAATACTATCCAACCTCATTTGCTGACCTATTTAAAAATACCATCTCTGCCATAACTGCAGGTGCAAAGCAGAATTCAAATGTACTTTTGAAATAATTATCTTTTACCAGATCCTTTAAAATTAAGCTTAGAATAAGCTCTGACCTTCAGAATATTCATCAGAATTCAGCTCTCAAAAGTGTTTTAGATTTTAGCCACTTGTAATTAGAAAAGGCTGCTTTTAAAATGAGTGTGAACATCATTCATACAGTCTACCTAAAGAGTATGAAAACACAAAATAGATATAAATATATATCCTTGTGTATGGATATGTAATTCTAAATTTGCCTTTGGCCATATCATTGGAAGTCATTATTTTAGAGTCCATATTAAAAATTAAAGGTAATTACTCTCACCTAAAGAGATGTTTACCCTGCTGCAAATGATTTATAGGTATAAAAAAAGCCCACAAAACCCAAGGCAAAAAATGCTAAAGGGATTATCCATCTTTGTATCTTGTCACATGACAAAAACTAAACAATCTTGCCTAATAACATCTTCAGCAAACCTTTGAGATGAGATTTGTGGAGGTAGCTGTTAGGGATTATTCTCCACTTAGCAGCATAGTTTAGTGTTACATATGTCCCACATCATGCAGCTGCAGGACTTCCTTACCTTCCTTTTTTCCAGTTTGTGCCACAACTTTGTCCAGACTTTCATGTGGTTTTTATATTGCATTCAGAATTGCAAGGGAAAGGATAAGGAATTTGGAGGAGTTTATTTCATACTGGTGAAGGATCCCAACTTTCTCTTCTTCCCTCTGTGAGCAGAAAAGAGCATTTTCACAGCACTATAAATGTCCAGATGTTGCCTGTAGCCAGTGTGCCTCATCTCCCAGTCAGTTTGAGGGAGAGAGATGGATTTCTTATTTTCCAGAAATTCTTCCAGTTGCCTCCTTTTTAGTTACCCCTCCTTGTCTTTCATTCTCCATGCTTTCTGTATCACCCTTAATCCTGTAGGAGTGTAGTATCCCCATTTGTCAGTTTTAGATTCTTAAATAGGATCTACCTATGAGAGGCATTGCCATCATAGGTAAAAATTAATTGTGTCACTACAAGACAGGAGCAAAACTCTCGTATGTCAGCAGCAAAAATAGGTCAGAAGTATAATATGGGACCACAGAGGATGATTTGGCTGTGCTTGTGGGGTCCTGTGTGGGCTCTAAAGCAAAGGATGCTATTGCAAGAATTGCAGGAATTCTTTTGCCAGGGATTCTCTTTTCTTTCTTTGTAGTGAAGGTGCCAGTTAACATCAGTTTGTAGTGTGTGATTTGCAGCCATTGGGAAGCAGACTCTTCACTGTAGTGCATTCAGTGGGAGCACTGTTGCTTGGTCAGAGCTGAGGTTCTGTTGCTGGACTCTGCTTGAAGAGGTTTGAATCTCTTTTTTCAGGCTCATCAATGATTTGCTGTTCCTTGTAATAGAACTTGGTCAGTACTTGAAGATATTTCTGATAAGCATGCCAAGTTGACAGCTGCTTTTTGAAATCTGTGTTTCTTCACATCAATGTGCATTCACTCTGCAGGTTGCAGTGGTTTACTTCTGTCAGCTGTGTTGGGATCTGAGCACACCTGATATGGACTCTCAGAACTTGATAGCTGCAGATTTAGCCAATAAAATGGGAAGCCTTTCCTTTTTACTGTGGCAAAGACATTCTTTAATGTCTGCATTTATCCCAGGTGTGTCTTGTAGGATACAGCTGAAATAAATTTTTAGTAAACTGATCTTTTAAAACTTTTTAAAAGTATTTCTAGAGAATTTCTTGTGAAGCTGTTGAGGAAGGCATAGGTTTCTTGTAGGTTTGCAAAAACAGTCACACAGCAGTGCTGTGTGTTGTACTGTCTCCATGGTTAAGTTAAACTTTTAGCTGTGAAATGAAAGGGAAAAATTGTATAACTGAATGCATCAGAATCTCTCCTTGCTTCAGCAAAAGGATTGCAGTTCTGGCTATGGCACTGTGATCACCACCAGCTTTTGTTTTATTTAGGAATTAGGATTTGACAGTTCTTAAAGAAACACCTATGTGTAAGGAGTTTTCCCATGTGTTGTCAGTTGAGCCATTTAGACTGTTGGAATGCACTCTGTTAGGGGAAGAAGAATGAGTGAGACATTAATACCAGAGAAATAAATTAATTTTTATATTTTAAAGCAGTAACTAGTGTTAGCTGGTATTACAGGATTCTTGTGTGGGGGTTCCTTACTATTGGGGTAGTATTTTGTTAGTCTTAGCATTCTACAGAACAGTGAGAAATTTTCTTGCAGAGCAACAATTGCTATTTTTCAGAAAATTGGAAACAACAAGCGTGGAGTCTCTTCTAATGTTTTGGTTTGTGGTTTTTGTTTGAGGGTTTTTTTGTGTGTGTATGTGTATTCGCTGAAGGGAATTGAATTTTAAGTCTTTTAAAGAAGTTATGCTTTAAGGAAAGCAAAAAAGCAAATTCTCTCATAGATGAACTGGAATTTCTTGTGCAAAGAGTTCAGTTAAAAAAAACCCCTTCGCTAGGAGCAATGCATCTGGTTACATATTTTAAGGGAATGTGAGGAGTTGTAAGGAAGGGCAAAATTGTGGAAGACTGCAAGAATAAAATTGCACTTCTGTGTAAGCCACAAATTACTGTTAAGCTTGATGCTAATTTTGATCAGTTCTACAATACTGTTTAAGTGAACTGAAATCTAAATACTGTAGTCCAAATGGTGAAAGTTTATGTAGCTGATGCAAACAATATCCATCTTGATTCTCCCATCTGTTTTCCTGATCTAACATCTGCATGAATTGAGTGGAGATAATCACACTGGTGAGGAGGGAAATACTTATCTTCACATCATGCTTTTAAAGTGATGCTTGGCACAGCAAGGAGCCTGCATTTCTCTAAATTCAATGCATTATACAAGAGCAGATTTTTCCATGCCTTTCTTCATTCCACCCTTAATGTTGAACTTAAGATATTCATACTGAGACACTTCTTGGCTAGACCAACTTTGAAAACATGACACCTTCTGCAATCCGTCTTCATGTGATTTGAGCATGTTTTTATAAATCTGCTGAGATAACCTTAGTGTTGTTATTTGTAGAACGTGTCAGAACTGAATTTATAGTAGAAACTTATTTGTGTCTTGTGTTCCTGTACTGTGAGTGGCAAAATCTGGAAATACACCATAAAAATGGAGCAGAGCATGGTCCCTGCAGTTAACTTTGGCTCCTAAGAATTTGGCTGTCTTGATGTCCTGTGATTGGTGACCATATGTGCTGACCATGTAGATGATTTCTGATCTTTCCCCAGTTAAAACAAGAGATTCGGATGACTTAAATCCATTTTAATGCCATAGATCACAGAAGAGTATTTACCTTCTCCCTCCACTTTGAAGGCAGGCTTTAGACACCGTCCTTACAATGCGTATCTTGCCAGAAGGACTCTCTTGGAGTGGCTTGTTGGGATGTCCAGCAGGAATTTTGACAGGGGCTTTGGTTGTGCTTGCCGGCTTTGGTTTGGGGATCCGAGTTGGAATTGAACGACGGAAGGTATTGGTAATCTGAAAATTAACAAGAAAATAAATCCTGCCTTAGGGAGGAGAAACAAGAGGTGGTTTTAGCTTTGTAGTGCTTTTTCCAATTTGTAAACCTGAATGCACTGCTTCTAGAACTGTTTAAACTTCCTTTATCTTGTTTGTAATGAGACAGAAGCTTTGTATTTAACTTACCTACCTGATTGGGGAATGTCAAGACTCTCAATGGATTGGGGAATATCAAAGACTCTCAATGGACTGAAACGCAGAGTATAAATAAGAGGGGCTTCCTGTCTGTCAGCTGACTATCAGCCCTAGGTGCTGAGTGATGCAATGCCAAGTATTGAGCTGTGTGGGTTCTCTGGGTGATAATCATGAATCTGGGTGAAATTCCTCATGCAGAAGCAAATCTTGATTCAATCCTGAGTAGAGGGTAATACCCAGGTCATACTTTACTGTGAGAGATGATTCTCTCATCAGTAACCACTGTACACAAAATTAATTGTATTTATGAGACAGCTCCCCCTCCAGAATGATTGTAGTCATATTTAATTGCAAAAAATGTGAATATGCCCCCCAAAAAGTTATTATGTGCATGGAAAAGGGGTGAAGAACTATAAAGGCAAGAAGTTTGTTTGAAAAGTACCATTATCTGAAACCAGGATTATACATACTGTACTCATGAGAACTTTTTTGCATCACAAGCATTTTATATTAGTTTTTCAGTCAAGCTAAGGGTAAAAGAACTTCATTTTTTTTAAAGATAACAAAATGGAAATTGTGTTCAAATGAGGACAATAAAAAATTTGAATTATGGTGACTTAATTATGAGTAAGAATGAGCTAGATCAAAACCCTGGTGGAGGGATAGAATGTAAGAAAATAAAGGTAGTGCAGAAGGCAGTCTCATACCTGAGGAGCTGCAGCTGTACTAATCACCAAAGATTGGGAACAGGCCTGCCCTTAATAGGCCACAGGTGTCTCCAATAAGGAGGAGTGCTACAAAAGAGTGGGTTAGCTGGGTGAGGAGGGAGTTGGAGTTTGTTGGCTGTGCTGTGGAGAAGGAGTCAGTGCTGTGAGGAGCTGCCCATGAGACATCACCAAGAAGGTATGGGAGCTTTGCAATATGATGACAACAAACCCTAGTGGCTATAATGATCTGTCTGGCCAGGTTTAAAAAAATAAAAGTAATCATAAATCAAAAGCTTGCTACTTGCTGTAGATAATTATTTATAACAGGGTTTTCAATGGAATAAAGCTGAACCAACATCAGATCATTGTATGTGCTCAGTGTGGAGGAATCTGGGGAAAGTTTGTACATCACAGATGTGCTTAGTGGATCATGAATAAGGAAAAAAATCAGCCTGGGCTTAATTGAAGTTTGATAACAAAGAGATAAAATAGTAACTATCTCCCAGAGCAGTGTGGTTTGTTTCTAGGAGTTCTGAAGGAGATGATTTTTAAAAATGCAGAATCCTTGTTAGTGATGTGCAGTTTACCACTGAAATTGTTGGTGATGCTAGAGGGGTGCAATGCTGCTTTAGATTAAAGCTTCACAGCAGATTCATAAATGTAACTGTTGAACTCATCAAAGTGTCAGTTAAGTAATAGGTTTGCCCACATGATTACTGATTTAGTGAAGGCATCCACATTTCTTGTCAGAGATAATATTCAGGTCTGTTAGTCAGATATTGTTATATAGTTCATGCTATTGGATTGTTTAATGATGATGAGACCCATGTGGGAGGGAAAGACCTAGGTTAAGTTAAAAAAAAACCTTGATAGTGATCTCTAACAAAAGGATCTTGTGAAAGCAGATTTTGTGTGCAAACTGTGGAAAAACAAGGAAAATTCTCAAGGTTAATGAGTGGCAAGTGGATAGGTAGCAGAGCAGTGACCTAGTTATTAATAGTATAGTGGAGATAGCGTCTGAATCTCACAGACCCCTCTGATACTCAACATATTCATAAACTGCATAGGAAGACATTACTGAAATGATAATATTTGCATATGGTATAACAGGGTATTAGAAGCAAGAGCTGACAGTAACTCAGGTTAGTGAGTAAAAAATGTGTCAGTTCGGTGTTAACAATTGAAAAATAATACGTGTAGGGAAAACTAGTTCATGTACAGTAGTGACATTTATTGTCAGTCAGAACACAGATCTTGGAATCCCTGTGAATTGTCCTCATTACTCAGCAACTGGCTGTTATCATAAAGGTAACAGACAAGTCAGGAATTACTAGGAAAAGAATAGAAGAAAACAAATCTCATCATTTTTTAGTGTGTGAATCCAAACCAGCCCATCCTACATTGTGAATGTTTTGCTGGGTTTTGCCAAACAGCTCAAGAAAGGTATGCCAAAATGCAAAAAAGGTGGCAAAGACTATCAATTATGAAATGTCTTCTGAGTGAAGATTAATAACATGTGCTAAACCTCTTCAAGATCAGATAGTAGATGGTGGTGAGAAAAATAAAAAGCAGAAATGTAGCATTATGGTGACTAGGGCAATTTTCTAGTATGCTTGAGGGGGCATCCACTGGGAGTGGATTAAAGATATGTGAAAAGTGTTTTCTCTTGTCAATGAGCTATGAAACTCATTGGGACAGACAGTTTTTGAGGTGATGATATCAATTGGTTTGGAGAGAATTTGTACTGATTTGGGGCATCAGTCAAGGACTGCTAAACACAAAGATGTGTGGAGATGGCAGCTCTGAGTTGCAGGCTGCCAATGGCTGGGTTTTCTACTCTGTGTGCATACTGAATGTTCACAGACATTTAACACTGGTCACTACCAAAGAGGAGATACGTAGTCTGAGTGTCTGAAACCTCTTTCATGCTTTTATTCTTAAAATCAGTATGTTTCAATTTGTAGCACTTTAAATTTTTTTTAATGCATTGAGAAAGGAAAGCATTTGATTTGGAAGGTGAGGAGGGGAAAAGGAGATGCATTTTTCTTTCCCTGTATTCCTGCAAGATTTTACCTCTAGGTGGCAGCGAAGATTTCCTTTTGTTTTACATCCCAATATTTCACTTAAATCCCACTGAAACTCTTCGTTAAATGCTGAGTAAACAAAATCAGCGTGCATTTTCCTAGTAGGCTGGAATTTTAGCATTCATATTGTTAGTACGAAAGGAAGCAAAAAAAAGAATTCACTCTTTGCCCCCAAACCAAAAGCATTTTGCTTCAATTACTAAAGGTGATGTGTTAAGAAAGGAACTGATGTTGGAGGGGATAATTTGCATTACTGCTATGTGGCTTTCCATGAGTACTGAGTTGGAAGAGTTTGCCTCTGACCATGTGGTATGGCCTGGTAGATGATGCATGGCATTGAGAATAAAATGTTTGGGTGGGCTATTACTGGCAGTGCTAATGCCTGATGTAATTATAGCAATGATAGAAAATGTCTGTTTCCCTTCTATAAAAATAATTACATTAACTAAGTATATTGAGGTGTATAGATAAAAATATTTATGTCAAGTCTCGCATATTAAAGCGAGATTGTATCTCTAAGAGTTGTTTGGTTCAGGATCTTTTTGAGAAGTGTTCCAGTTCAGGGATTGCTTAGGTCACAAAGTGGTTGGAGTATTGTCTGGAGTTGATTGATCAGCCCTGTTAATACTTCAGGAAGGTGTTTGTAGGCCCACATTTTTACAGGTTTTGTGCATCTGACTCTGGTATTCAGGCTGTAAGTTTTTATTGAATCAATGAAGAGTTAGGTGCTGAAATATTCCTGTGCTCTGGCCTATAGTTTGCACTGGTGTCTGGCTCATTAAAACCACCATTGACATTATGGTGTTCTGAGCCATCAGATTTCATTTCAAACACATTTTTTTCTTTGTGATTCAAAACTATCTATATTGCAGTTCTGAATGACAGTATTAAATACATCTACAATATTATAATTTGGTGCCTAGAGCTGCATTATAACTGATGGACTTGTCAAGGTTTGATCTGCTTACAGAGTTTGTACTGCTCTCTTTGGCTTGTGTCATGTTTGATTGTAGCCACAATAACTGACTTGCTCTAACTCCTGGCATAGGCTCAAACTTGAGGGTAACAGTTGTACTATGGGGCTTTTTTCCTATGCAAATAAACAAATGAGCTTGCACTTCAATGATTGTACCAATCTAACTTCTGATAAAGGCAAGGATTTAACAAACTGCCCATCTAGTTCTCTTCCTCCTCATACTGCACTTAAAAATTGGTTTATTTTTCATCATTTGTGATATAAATTCTAGACAGGAAGGAATGAATAATTTAAATTTAAGGAAAACAGTTACTGACACTTAAGTTTTTTAATTCAATTACACATGTACCTAGATCAATGGCTAAACTTTATTTACTTTCTAAAACTTGTACTTTACAGCTCTTATCTGAGATTGGTAATTTGTTAACAGAGTATTTTGGGTCAGTTGACTAGACCTGTGCTTAAGCTGCTGTAAGATGTGCATAAGGAGGGAATGGTACTATGTGGGAATTGTCTGGAAAGCACTTGGAAGTAACCATATATAAAATTCTGCAGTGGTTTAGTTGTATGTGTACTGAAAATCCTTGTGCAATATTCCTAGGTCCTTCCCTGCTTCTTAGTGTAGAGGCATGTGAGGAGGTACATTGGCCATAGCAGGACTCTATCTCCAGATGTCTGGTTTGGTTTTTAGACAGACTTGAATGACTGAAAACCCCTTATATATAGATTTTGTTGGGTGTTTTCATTTTGATTTTTAACTATGTATGGGAAATCTGTGCGCACACCATGAATTACTTCAGTTCTCTTCAAATGTATGCATCCTTTCCACCAACTCATTCTCTCCTTCAAGATGAATGTTTTTAGTCTTCCTGATCCTTTTTTGAACCCTTATTTGTATTCTGAATTTGCTGCCTTTGTGTTTGTTAATGCTGTTTAGCTATGTCTCTTGAGTTCCCATCTGTAGGCCACTTTTTCTATCTACTATCTTTCTAAGTCAGAGAAGAGAAAAAAAGATATGTTTGTTCTTCAAAAAACAAGCTGAACTGCCTCTCATGG